GGCGGCGCGCCCAGGGGGACGCCGAAGAACAAAAACGGTATGACTATCATGTCGGGCGTGTCCCCCTACAGGCGGATTTTGGACGAAGAATTGTCAAAGCATCGTCCCTGACTATGTTTTGACTGTTCTTGAATGGATTCCCCCTGTAGGGGGACAGGCCCGACTTGGCATGACTATAGAAATCGGCGAGGGTCGGGAGTAGAGGTTGCCGGGCGCGTTCGCAGGTCCTCGGCGGTTGTATCCAGCCTCGGGGCGCACTCCAGCGGCCGCGCCTTGCCGAAGGCTGAACATCGTCTTAGGATGGAGGGCTCAGGGCGAAGTCCATATGGACTTCTGCACCTTGGAATCAATCCGTCTTGTGATTCACCATTCGCAGACTCAACCTCAAAAATCCATCGGAACGGCATTTCAGATTTCCCCCCTTTGCCCTCCACCCAAGGAAAATGCTCTGGAAGGGCGTCCTTGGGTGCCCGGATCGTCTCGAACGGCAGGCCCAGAGGTTGACACCAACACCAAAATTGGCGGCGTGCCTCAACCGAGGAGAGATGATCCCGATCTCGGAAATGGTGGTAATACTCTGGCTTCCGAGGCGGCCGAAATATTGCCACCGACACCGAAATCTATGATCCTCTTCCCCCGGTGGGCGCGCCCCCCCGTTTTGGTGTTGGTGCCAATTCCGGAGCCTCCAATCGAACGGCCGCCGGAGGCGCGAGCTGTGACCCGAAGGCCACCAGCAGAGCGTGCGGGCCGCCTCGGAAGGCCCGGGAGGCCCCTGACCTTCTGAAGAGCGTTCTGCGCCTCCTCCGACGCCGAAGCCCGGGGAGGGCTGCTCGGGAGGCTGGGCGGCGTCTGAGAAGCCCCACCGCCGTCCGAGAAGGCCTGGTAGCACGGGATGTGTCGCCCCCGACCCCAGGCTTTCGAAAGTTCTCGAGTGGGCCAAAAGTTTGGAGCCCAAGCCCGGGATACTCGACGCGGAGGGGCGTGCGTCCTCGCTAGGGGGGCCTTCGAATAGCCCCCTGGGGGTGCATCCCAGGAGTTCCCTCCTTCCCTGAGCGGCTTCATTCTTCATGGAAGAGCCGGGGGCGCGCCCAGGGGCTCCTCCTCCTCCTCCTTCCTCCTCCTCCTCCTCCTTCCTCCTCCTCCTCCTCCTCGCTCCTCCTCCTCCTCCTCCTCCTCCTCCTCCTCCTCCTCCTCCTCCTCCTTCTCCTCCCCCTTGGGGCGCAAACCCGCCTGCGACCTTTCGCTTCCCCTCACGGGCGCGCCGCCGAGCTATAAGACTGCAGGGACGCGTTGCTGATCACGTCCTCGTTGTCGGTAGCGATGGCAGAAGAACAAGGCAACGGCACAAGCTCAAGTCGGACATGTCCTCCTACGCCCTCCACCTCCATCTCCCATACCTTCCGACCTCTGCGGAAGGCGCGGAAGGTGATGCATTGAAACTCTCGAAAGCTTCAGGAAACGCAAGAAAACTAAGCATTTCACGAAACGCATGAGTGTGGAAGGTCAGCACGGAAGGTCTGGAAGAATGAGGGCGAGGGTACGGGCGGATGTCGGTAGAAAAGCCACAGAAAAGAGCCTAAGCGTTGCCCAACACTGCCAACCATAGTCGGAAGATCGTCCCCAATCTATGTTCTGACTTGACTATGTCTGAATTGTCCTCCTGTAGATGGACATGCCCGACTGGAGCATAAGCAAAGCCGTTGGAAGGTCCGCGCGGACTTCTCGGATCGGCGCCAGGCCCCTTCGGGCGGCGCCTCTGGCGCTGCCCGCGCGCCGATCCGAGGACAACAAATGTGCGGACCTCCGAAAGTTTCTGCCTATGCCGCTGCTTGTTCTTCGAGCCCAGACCCCCGACGTCATGAGTCTGTTCCATACAGTAGGGGATCGACCACAAGAAACCTTCCACAAGAAACCCAACCCTGAGACCCCAGGACGTCCACTCAATTTTCGTGTGGGAACGCCACGAAACCCAAGAAGCCCAGGGCACCCTGGAGGCAAGCAGGGTGTTTCTTGGCATGGGTCTCAACTGTGTACGCGGACCTCCTGAGGTCTCAGCCCATTCCCCAGGATCATCTCCTCATGCCGAGTCGTTGTTCGACGGTCCCCGGGAATGGCAAGTGCCCGCCTCCTCGTCCTCCTCCTCCTCCTCCTCCTCCTTGTCCTCCTCCTCGTGGCGAGACTAGTAACAAGCCATCACAAAAAAAACTCCGTCGTGTTTTTGTTCACGACGAAGCCACTCAGTCAGTGCCGGTGCTGGCCGCGCCAGCGCGCTCGGGATGAAAGTCTTCCATCTCTGAATGCCCCCCTCCACCTCCCCCTTCCCATTCTTCCCCTCATCCTCCTCCTCCCCCTCCTCCTCCCGCTCCTTCCTCCTCCTCCTCCTCCTCCTCCTCCTCCTCCTCCTCCTCCACTTCTACCTCCTCCTCCTCCTCCTGGAAGTCTTCCACCACCCCTGCCTCCGCGGCCGCTCTGCCTGTCGCAGCCCCTCCTCTTGCATGCTGGGCTGTTCGCTCTCCGGCCGCCACGGATTGCTGGACCGCTGGTGCAGGCTACCTCTGCCTCGCCGCCGACGAAAAAGAGAGGCGTGCTTGCTTACGACGCGAGGGAGTCTGGGAGATGAAGACGTTGCGAATGTCGGGCCAGTTGCCGCGGAGGGCAGCCATGAGCGCGCCGAGGGACAGCAGCGGCGTGTGGTCCAGGGCCTTGTCGCCGTGCCTGACGTGCACGGCGGCGTACGGCTCGCCCCCGAAGGGCGGCGTGCGGCTTGCGAGCAGCGGCCACAGGGACTGCAAGAACAGGTCTCCTTCGGTGGCAACTCATCGTGGGAGCCTCCCATACCATCTTGTCGGCTCTTGCGAATCGACGCTAATCGACGCTAAATCGGCGCTATTCGACGCTAAATCGACGTTGTTCGACGCTAACCGACGCTAAATCGGCGCTATCTCATCGACTCCCAGACGCTAATCGACGCTAATCGGCGCTAAGGCAGAATCCGAAGGGACACAAGGCTCCCTTGATTTGCTGCCGAAGTCTCCCATGGTGAGGTCGCCGTGAGACGTCTCCGCCTTCCAGAACTGCGCGATCCTCGGAGTACACAAAAAAAGAGAGAGAGACGCAAAGCCACCAATGCTTTCCGCGGCCGCGGTCCGCGCGGAGGTCTTGGATCGGCGCTGATACCCCCCTCCCTGGCCTTCAGTCGGGCGTCTCCTGCTACAGGGGGATTTGGGACGAAAAATCGAACATACGAAAAACTAACCCAGAATGACCCCCCCAAACAAAAAACTTTAAAACAATCGTCCCCATACGATTGGTTGACTATTGTTGAACACTCCTCCTGCAGAGGGGCAGGCCCGACGTGACCCTGGCGCGCCGAGCGCGCCCGAGAGGCGGCGCTTGGAGCGCCGCCAGGGGAGCCCGCCGCCGATCCGACAGATCCGCGGGACTCCGCAAGCTCCATGGTGATGCTGGCTCCCTTGAATGGGGAACTGGGACACACAAATAAATACACACAAATGAAAATATCCCCCACAGGTTCCCATACGTTCTGGGTTGTTGTCTCCCCCCCCCCACTTCCCATAGTTTCCCCTAGGTTCTTGGAATCGCCGATGAATTGTGTCTGTGTGTTTTCCCCTCCTGATTCCTGGACGCCCGGCGTGTGTATACGTTGGCGGCGCGCACGAGGGGGGGAGGGAGGAGGGAGGGCTTCTTAGGAGGACCCCTTGCTCCTTAGAGAGCACGGGCCTTCCATCTCTAGACAAGGCCCGCGCCTTCTGAGAAGCAGGGGTGCTTCTCAGAAGCCTTGTCCCCTTCCCCCCGCCCCCGTCTGCGCGTGGCTGAGAATACTACGTGCTCGGCCATGGACCACTTCTCGCACCCATTCCTCCTGGCCCCGTCTTCGGCGACCTTCGGCGGTCGTCCCCCTACAGGCGGATTTTGGACGAAAAATAAAACATACCTCAAACAATCCCCCCCCAAAATGTCAACCCAGACTATTTCCCAACCATCTTGTGTTGTTGGGTTTTCGTTCTGAAGAGACGGTCCCCGCGTTCCTCTCCTCTCCTCCCCTCTCCTCCTCCCCTACTTCTCCCTCCTCCCTGCGTTTCAGTTTCACCCACCCAGTACATCGCTTCGTAGCCCCGTAGGGAGCCCCACCGAAGGTCCCAGCGCTCCCGTCCGCATACGCCCCCCCCGCCCAATACAGCGTTTCATGGCCCCCTCCTCCCTCCTCCCTGCCTTTCACCCACCCAGTACGGCGCTTCGTGGCCCCATAGGGAGCCCCACCGAAGGTCCCAGTGCTACCCTCCGCATGCGCCCCGTGCACCCTGTACGGCGCTTCGTCGCCCCATAGGGAGTCCCACCGGATGTCCCAGCGTTGCCGTCCGCATGCGTCCCGCACACCCAGTGCGGCGCTTCGTGGCCCCATAGGGAGCCCCACCGAAGCCCCCCGTGGAACCGTAGGCATGCGTCCCGAAAACCTAATCTGGCAATTTCACCCGCCCAGCACAGCGCTTCGTGGTTCCATGGGGAGCCCCACCGAAGACCCCAGTGGGACCGCCCGCATGCGTCCAGAATGCCGAAGTTTGGATGTTCCCCCAACCTAGTACCGCGCTTCGGGGCCCATAAGGAGCTCCACCGAAGCCTCCAGTAGGACCGCCCGCATGCGTCCAGAATGCCTAACCGAATACCTTCGAGAATAAACACTAGGGGATAATAAAGTTCGGGGTCCAGGGGGAGATAATCAAAGCAGCCCACCAGACCTCAGCATAATCTCGAAGTAAGAGATGATCAAGAGGAGACCAAGCCGAGCACGTTTTGAGACATCCTTGGCGTTTAGCCTTCATAGAATTATCCTCAACAATGGCTTATCTCGCTGGGGACATCCTCGACAAATCCCTTGTTTCGCTTGAGACATCCACAAACTATTGCTTATTTCGCTTGAGACACCGTCAAACTATTGCTTATTTCGCTTAAGAAACGTATCGTTTCGCTTGAGGCATCCTTCAGTATATGCTTGTTTCGCTTGAGACGTCCTCGAGTATATGCTTGTTTCGCTTGGGACATCCTCGGCATAGCTCATCCGCCTCTGTGTCCCTGGATAACCAACCGCGGCGATAATAAAGTTCAGGCGGGCGGAGCACTGGAGAAAGCGATATGCAAAAACAAAAACAAAAAGAAACAATAATAAATGTAAAAGAAAACGGGAACAAATCAAACAGAAAAGAAAACAGAGGAGGAGGAGAAAGAGAAGGACAAATCTCAAGTTCAAATGTATTAGATTTTATGTACAAGCGCTTTATGAAACATTAATCAACCCCAGGGATAAAAAAAAAGTTCCGAGGGGGGGAGCATGGAGAGAGAGAGAGAGAGAGATACATCATAAAGAAAAAGAAAGGAAGGACTTAAATAGAGAAGATATATGTAAAAAGAAAAGTACAATAATAAATGAAAAGGATAAAGAGAAGAGGAAATGAGGATAAAACAAAAAAACTGAAGATTCAAATGTATTAAATTTTATTTACAAACGCTTTATGAAAATTTAAATGTTTAAGTGCTCGTGTAGGGTAGCTCACGTGCCTCGTTTTCCCTGGATAATCAACCCCAGCGATAAACAAGTTCAGGGCGCCAGGGGGAGGAGGAGGAGAAAGAGATAGAGAGACAGAGAGAAAGAGGCAGAGAGGCCAGGAAGGAGAAAGAGATAGAGAGACACAGAGAGAGAGAGAGAAAGAGAGACAGAGAAAGAAAGAAAGAGATACAGGAATAACTACAAAGAGACATAAGGACATTGGTTTCGCTTGAGACATCCTGAAACAACGTGTTCGCTTCGCTTGATGTTGTTATCTCAACATAAGAAGGAAGTAACTTCGATGGCGAACTTTTCCCGTGATAATGAAGTTCGGCCTCCGCGCCCCCGCGCCCCCGACCAAACTCTTATTGGTCGACGATAATAAACTCTAACGACTTAAGGGGGGGGTTACTTGATTCTCATCGGCATGGGGTTAATTTGACATGTTCACCCACCCAGTACAGCGCTCCTTGGACCCATAGGGAGCTCCACCGAAACAAAACCGACGGTCCAAGTGCTACCGTCCGTATGCGCCCCCACACCCAATACACCGTTTCGTGGCCCCCTCCTCCCCCCTTCCCTGCGTTTCGCCCACCCAGTACAACGCTTCGTGCCCCCATAATGGGGAACACCACCGAAAATCACAGTGCTACCGTCCTCATGCGTCCCCAGCGTTCCGTGGCCTCCTCATCCATCCTCCCTGCGTTTCACCCACCCAGTAGAACGCTTCGTGGCCCCATAGCGAGCCCCACCGACGGCCCCAGTGCTACCGTCCGCATGCGCCCCCCCGACCCAGTACAGCGTTTCGGTGTCTCCTCCTCCCTCCTCCTTGCGTTTCACCCACCCAAACGCTTCGGGGCCCATAGGGAGCCCCACCGAAGGTCCCAGCGCTACCGTTTGCATGCATCCCCCCCCCCACCCAGCACAGCGTTTCATGGCCCCCTCCTCCCTCCTGCCTGCGTGTCACCCACCCCGTAATTACACCGCTTCGTGGCCCCATAGGGGGCTCCACCGAAGGTTCCAGCGCAACCGTCCGCATGTGTCCCCCCTACCCAGCACTGCGTTTTCGTGGCCCCCTCATCCCTCCTCCCTGCGTTTCGCCCACCCTGTACAACGTTTCGTGGGCGCATAGGGGGCCCCACCGAAGGTCCGAGCGCTACCGTCCGCATGCGCCCCGCACGCCCAGTACAGGCTTCGTCGCCCCATCGTGAGCCCCAGCGGATGTCCCAATGCTACCGTCCGCATGCGCCCCGCAAACCCAGTACAGCGCTTTGTCGCCCCATAGGGAACCCCACTGAAACCCTCAGTGGGACCGTCAGCATTCGCCCCAAAAACCTAATTTTGCACGTTCGCCCACCCAGTACATCTTTTCGTGGCCCCAGCTGGAGTTCCACCGAAGCTCTCCCCCTGGGACCGCCCGCATGCGGCCAGAATGCCGAATTTTGCATTTTCACCCACCCAGTACAGCGCTTCGGAGCCCCATAGGGAACCCCACCGAAGCCCCCAGCGGGACCGCCCGCATGCGTCCCGAAAACCCAACTTGGCATCTTCACTCACCCAATACAGCGCTTCATGGCCCCATAGGAAGCTCCACCGAAGCCCCCAGTGGGACCGTCCGCATGCGTCCCGATAACATAATTCATCATTTTCACCAACCCATTACAACGATTCGTGGCCCCATAGGAAGCTCCACCGAAGGGCCCGCATGCGTCCCGAAAACCTCATGTGGTATTTTCACCCACCCAGTACAGCGCCTCGTGGCCCCATAGGGAGCTCCACCGAAGCCTCCAGTGGGACCGCCTGCACGCGTCCCACACACCCAATTTGGCATTCTCACCCACCCAGTACAGCGCTTCGTGGCCCCATAGGGAGCTCCACCGAAGCCCCCAGTGGGACTGCCCGCATGCGTCCCACACACCCAATTTGGCATTTTCACCCACCCAGTACAGCGCCTCGTGGCCCCATAGGGAGCTCCACCGATACCCCCAGTGCCAGTGTCCGCATGCGTCCCCCCCCCCCCACACACACACACACTCACTCACTTTGGCATTTGCACTCATTCAATACAGCGCTTCGTGGCCCCATAGGGAGCTCCACCGAAGCCCCCAATCCCACCGTCCGCATGCGTCCCACATACCCAATTGGGGATTTGTTCAGCCACCCAGTACAACGCTTCGTGCCCCCATGGGGAGCTCCACCGAAGCCCCCGGTAGGACCGCCTGCATGCGCCCCGCACACCCAATTTGGCATTTTCACCCACCCAGTACAGCGCTTCGTGGCCCCATAGGGAGCTCCACCGACGGCCCCAGTGCTACCGCCCGCAGTCCCCCCCCACCCAGTGCAGCGCTTCGTGGCCCCATAGGGAGCTTTACCGAAGAAGATGTTCATAACTGCGGTACCCACAACTGCATGGGTCCCTCGCCAGGACAATTGTTTTAGTATTTTTGGAGATTCCCTCTGTAAAGAGACAGGCCCGACGTAATACTAATTACGTGCTCGGCCATGGACCCCTTCTTACTCA